CATTGCAAATTGATTTGAATGAAGTGATGATTGAGTTGGATATCAAGGAAAAACTCATCGATCAATTAGAAAGAGTTGAAAGACAGAATCAGCAAATCAGAGATACGTATGAGAAAAAGCTCATACAGTTAATGGAACCACCCCAAAAAAGATAAACGTAGTCAAAGAGATATTGTAGTCGAAGAGATTGTAGAGTCAAAGAGTAGGTGTAGTCAAAGAGTGGTGTAGTCAAAGAGTAATTGCCGAAGATTTCCGATTTTTTTGGAGCTACAGATTTTCGGACTACGGTATGTCAATGCGAAAGTTTCTTTGCGGGTTTCGAGCGGAATTCCTTTTAATTTTTTTTTGCGCTATCGAAATCCGTTTTTCAATTTTTCGTGCTTTTGTGATTCCGCAAAGTTCTAAAACGGTATATTTCGGAATTCTAAGATTTAGAAATTTTTCGACATTCCGAAAATGCAGTTCCGAACATCTCTGAGATTACAGTAGTGTATTTTAAATACTTACAGTAAGATATACATTCTCGTTGTATTGATCATTGACAACTTCATGGCCATCTACGTCAACTGTACGTCTTCCTTGTTTAAACTCAAGAAGTTCTCCTTCTAAGGCAGCGATTCGACTACGAAGTTCACCGATCATCTTCGAAGACTTATCTTGATTGGCCACAACTTTATTCTTGATTTCCTTAGCACGATTAGCATATTTCATCGTGTTAAGAGTCTCGACAAAGTCACTATCGGACGGGGAACAGCAGGCAATCATGAGTGTTCGGCTGAAGTTCATTTTTTAAAGTCTGTTCGTTAACCCGTTGTTTACCTGTTTCCTCCTAAGAATCTTGGAGTAGACGAGTCAATTTGGAATCACGATACGGTACGTGGCTGACTTTTCCATTTGCTCCTCCTAGTGCCGCGATGACGTTACCGAGTGCTAGCTAGAAACTTGAACATATTTCCCCTGGTATTCTATATTTTAGAAACCTACCAATCCAACGTTAATACTGATTCCTTCTTTAGCTCGATCTCCAGTTGCTCCAGTTCTCTTCATTCTCTCCGATCCAGCCAAGTCAACGAAATGAAACTTGGCACATAGCATTTCCATTTCCAACTCTCCAGCTTTCTGTTCTCCTGCTTCATCTAATGGATTCACAGCAACACGTTGCTGTTTCAGATGGAGAGTGAAAATCGCATGTGATCTAGACGATTGCTCATTCATGTTAGTTGAAGCTACAGTTCTGTTCAGTGCTCCGTTTTTGAGAATATCCATGGTCTGAAAAATTATAATTAGAAAACAAAAATAACTATAAAACTTTATAAAACTAACTCCATGCATATCAAAAACAGCTCTCTGCTCCACTCCATGCAGAACGATTTCTCCTCTCGAATCTTCGTGGATTCTGATGCTTGATGACATACTTCTATCATCCGAGAGCAAGTCTAAGACGTCGTCATTATAAAGTTCAACAAACTGAACCGACACTTCGAACGCTGGTTCCAGAAGACCCTGTTCAATCGACTGGGTTTTGCATTCAGCAATTTTTCGAAACGTATGTTGAATAGCCCGTGGAATGACTCCTAGATCCTGTTCTTTTTGAGTCACGGCAGAATCGAATGCAGTTCCCATCGTGTGAGTTTTTCCAGAGCCAGTCTTAAAACAATATATTGGAACTGTGCTAAAAAAGATTAGCTAACCTGTCCATATGCCAAAACAGTAGCGTTGAATCCTTCGAAAAGTCCATCAACGAGCTTCTCGACACATGCTTCATATACAACATGTTGTTCTGTTTGCATATCAAAAACATGGTCGTAGGTGAATGAACGATCTCCGCCGATGGTAACTTGGGGATCGTTTGGAAGAACAGACGTACATACTCGACTACCTTCTAGCTTCTCACGATTTCCTTGTGGGCGGATACTGTAAAGCACACATTTTTAAAAGACCGAGGTTTTAGAATACCTACCGCAACGCGACCTGCACACATGTATCCGCCATATTTACCTATATTGGTGAATATTATCTGGTGTCCTCTATTCCATCCAATTCGATAGGATTCTGAAATTTTTTGAGTTTATTTCGGTGTATATGATACCCCATCAGAGAGAAATAATCGGAACGGGAAGATGAAACAAGAAGAAGACAAAGAGAGAATCGAACAACGGATAAGAGACTAGAGAAAAATAAAACTGAAGTGAAAAAAAATTGCAGATGGAAAATCGGAAGAATATGTAGTAGTTGATTTATGATTTCACAGAAATCAAGTCTCGATCGTTCCCACGGAAATTCATCTTCCATGTTGTCTCCTCAGATACATTCAAAGAAGACATCTGAAATAATTTTCGATAATTTAATTAAGAAATAGTTTGCTCACTTTTGATACAGTACTCCGATAATATTGGTAGTTGAGAATAGCTTTGCACAAGTTATAATATCCGAACTCTGGCCAGAGAACGCTGTCAAAGTAAATATGTGTATCAGCAGCTTGCCACATCATGAAATCAGACAATCTGTGTTCTCCAGAAGTTCGAATGAACAGATCTGGAGGAGTTCCACCACAACCGCTATCCAAGCACGCGTCAATCATCGATTCATTAATCTGACAAATACTGGATCAGTTAGTTTTTGGGTATAAAAAACAACATACATCTTCCACATTCAGTTTTCCTTCTTTCACATGGGTCCGAATAGTTTCAAAACTTCTTGAAATCTCATCTCTTGATGTGTATGGCATACAAACGTTCAACCGTCCTCCTTCAAACTTTTCTGTTCTTCCTTCAATGTCACTCATCAACTTTTGAAGACGTGCCGAGAGTAACGTGCGATTTCCATAGAACCGGAAGCATATGCGCTTCTCGTCTAACTTCTCAGAATCATTCAACAATTTCTGGAACTTTTCTTCTGCCAGACGCATCAAGCCACCGACCTGAACAAATGGAAACTTTAATAAATTTAAAACCTCAAATGTTACCTCATCTTCACTCCGTTTGAAGTTTTCAATACTGAATGCATATACGGTGATTTCACGAATCCCGAATCGACTGCACCAATCTAGAATTTTGGCAAGTTGAACGAATCCCTGAAATTCTAAAAGATAAATCAAATTTCGTATAATCTACCTACTTTCTCATGTCCTTTGATAACACTCCCAAGGTTCTTGTTTTTTGCGAATCTCCGATTTCCGTCCATTACGAAGGCTACGTGCCTTGGGATTGGTCCTGATGCAATGAAACGACGTAACAACCATTGCCACCACGGTTGCTCTTTTTGGGATACGAACCAACCGGCTTCCTCGTCGGCTGTCAAGTTTGAGGCCATCGTTTTGTGTTGGCAGCTGCAACATTGTATTTTCATGACGAGATGAATGAAAAAACTTTCAAAAAACGAGGATATGATCAAGCGACGAAGGACGAATGAAATTCGATAGGACACACTCCTAAGTTGAGAAACATTCATTCGAACTATCAATTCCAAAAGTACATTAAAGCACTGTTTTGGTCAGTTTTTGAGTTGTTGACTTTAAAGCGTTCCTGTGAAATATGAATGGAGTTTTCCTCACTAAAGAAACGAAACCACACCGAGGTGTCCTTCTGAATAGGTGCGAACCATAGACGAGGTCGCCTCTCATAAATATTCATGAATGGATTTTGAAGTGATACCTTTGAAACTTAAATTGTATTGTTATGAAAAACACCCAATATAAAAATTAGAGAGTCGTTCTTCAAAAGTTCAACCTTCAGAATATTGAAAAAGGAGTGAGTGTCTTCTGAGATGACTTCATTAACGAAAAGTCGTCTCTCTTTTTTGAAATTCTGGTCAAGGACATCTAGGTAGTACCGAAAACGATGGAAAAAACTTGATTTACTTAGATTCTAAAGTGATCTCTTTCTGCCCAACAAATAAATCATCAAAGGGAGCATAAAAGATAGTGGAAAAAAAAGAATGAAAAACAGACGCAGATGGGAAAGAGACCTATTGCGAAATGTTCTTGAAATTCTGGATGGCACAATGCTTCAAAAAAGAGACACCTGAATTAAAAAAAAAGGAAGTGAAACATCGATACAAAAGAAGCAAAGACCGTCTATATGTATGACAGCCTGCGTTTCTATAACAGGCATCACTATTTCGCTCTATCTTTGCACATATGGGGAGTGGAAACAAGGGAACAAATGAATGACCGAGTAAGCGGGGGCCATGGGGCTTTGGTTCAATTTATGATTGAGCAGAAGACGAGGAAAAGTGACCAGTGTGTGTCAATTGGAGTAAAATGTCAAATGGCCACAACAATTCTTTATGAGGCAATTCTTCTAGATGAAGCATATGGAGGTTATTTACAATTGACTTGAGTTTCTTTTAGATTCCAAAAAAGAAATATTTGAATACAATATACTCATCTACTGGATTGGACAACTAACGAAACCAGAATAAGACAACTAACGAAACCAGAAAATCGTAGGAAAGCAAATGAATTGATGCATCATTGAATGGCCACCACCACCACACCCCAGATGATGATACAAAACATTTAAAATGAAAAAGAAAAAGCGTAGATGAGAATAAAACGGATGAACAGATTACTCATATGAGAGGAGGGACTGGGTGTGGATCCTAAAGATGAGAAAATGAATGACTTGGGATTCGAATACGGAGGCCCTTCCAATTCCAAGAAAAAATTTACCGGTAAAGTGAGCGGAGCTTAAATTTTAAGCTGCGCATGATTTTGACGCAGTTTGTCTTATGACCGTATGCAAACTACAAATTAAGGCTCCGCCCACTTTTCTCCGGACATTTTTTCCGTTGCGATAGAATGCAAAAAACCCCAATTGACCTAATTATTATAAATATCGGAAAAGGGCGTATATTTATGGATGTGTAAACAAAGCGATCAAATCGTAAAACTACGCGAATCGAAACGTGACACTTTTTCTAAAATGTTAACTATTCCGGTTATAACCTGAATGCATAATTTAATAGATATTTCGAAAGGGATTCTTGCCATCTTGGAAACATGAATTGAACAATTAATTTAATTTTGATATATCATTTCAATAAACAAATATATTATTACTGTACAACAAAAACAAAGCAAGAAAATGGGTCATTAACTAAAGCATTATCTAATATTTTTCGGGGCAGGAATATGGGATCTATGTTTGGGTCTCTTACTCGCAATAGAAATTATGTGAAGAAATATGTTTAACACGATTTTCACACACGAAATAGATGAACAAAACATTTTGAAGAACATTGGCACAGTTCCAATGAAAAATTGATAAAGAAACATATTGATAGACACATCTCTGATATGAAATAGAAAGGGTTTGCCATGATGATAAGACGGGGTGTTCATATTTACGGAGACGGATTACTGAAGAGCAAGCGAGAGAAGTGACTTCAAAGCCGGTAGGAACGACGAAATCTGCAAAAAACAAGAGTGTGGGTAAATAGAAATATCGATAGATTTGTTTCCTTTTTCGGAGGAAAACAATCTGACAAAAGTGACACCGATCTCAAAAGACCTAATTTTGAATGCGAATCTTTCCCACTTTTAAAAAAAAAACACACCTCTGTAAAATCACTCGAGTTTCGAGCCATTTGAGAAACAACAGCTTGAGCTTCGCGGATTTGACGCATTCCAATGAAGTAGGCCAAATGAGTCAAATGTTGTTTTGTTTCAACAGAAAGCTGTAATAATCAGTTTATATGGAAAGGTATCTCCTAAAATAATTCATACTCGATTAGCCGCAAGTCTTGGTGACAGCTCAGCCTGAATACGGGTTTTGAATTCCTTTGCTTTCTCCATTCTTGCTTGAACTCGAGCATTGTCTATGATGGATTGAGCAAGCGCATTGATAGGTCCCACAATTTTTTCGTCTTCGGGAGTCAGCTGAATTGGGGGTGGTGCGGAAACTGATGCGACAGATGCCGGTCGTTGCTGGTAGGCGGTTGGGGATGGGAAAGAAGAGGATGTGGCAGAAGGTGGTTGATTGTTAATAGTAATTCCTGAAAAACAATACATTTATTCTAAATTCGCTTTCTGACTAATTACCTTGAATACCATTGCTCATTACATTTTGATAGCCCATTCCTCCACTGAATCCATTCATTTGCTGACCCCTCATCATTCCACCAGGTGCTGGAGCAGTTTCAACCGGTTTCCAATTAATCTCCATGACGTTCTGCTTCGGCGCTGTTGGATGAGCACTTTTCAGTGCCATTGGTGGTGGATCATTCCATCCGGGTGTGACAGGAGCCGCTGGTTTAGGTGGTGGCATATTTGGAGGCATTGACGGTGGCTGTAGCTGGTCCAACATTGAAAAAAGAAATTAAGCATTGAAAATATTACCGGCTTATGATTCCAGGAAGGTGTTTGATAAAATGTTGAAGAGGGAGGCATCGGTGCAATGTTGGAACTTCTGCGGTTGCTCATATAATCATTTGGAGGAGGTGGTGATTGTGATTGAGCGGGATTATACGGATTGAACCCGTTCGCAATAACCTATACCTTTTTGTTAAAATATTAGATTTGGCAACCGAAACATACCGGTGGTGCAAGAACAGATGGGTGTGGCTGTTGCTGGAACGGTCTCATAGGATGGTTTGGACTTTGATGGTTTTGAATTTGTTTTTGGCTAATGTTGTATGGGTTCAGAGGAGGTTGATCTCCAGTGCAATCACGACCCCCGGCCACATTGTAACACGTCCATTGAAGTTCTTGCATTTCAGCTGATCCGTCCTGACACCATTTAACTAAATTCCACGCAGTAGAACCCGCGCCTTGAGTGAGAAGACGATTGGTGAAGTCGATTATCAGCTGAAAGAAAACGTTTAAACAATATTTCGCACTGCCTCAATTACTTCTTCCAGTCCTTGTGAATAGGAAGTAGCTTTCAAGACTTGATGGAGAACCAGTGCCTGCTTCAAGCGATCGACTTGTGAGAAGGAAGTGTTTGAAAGCAGAAGTTGATCAATATCGCCGCCAATCAGGAACGCAATACATGCTCGGAGATTTTCTGAATGAAATTCAGATGAACAGAGATTCTCTCTGATAGGGAAATTCAAAACTACTACTTACTTCCTCGACTAAGCCATTTTTGCCCGATAGTTGTGGCGGAAAGCCGAATATCCTCTGTATTCGTTTCATGAGCAATAATTAGGCCGAGTAGTTCTCTCCATTTTTCATCGGGGAAGGTTTCACAGATTTTGTTAACTTTGTGAATGGTTTCTTCTCTTGTTGAATTGTGCTGCGAAGGTGTCTCTGTGCGACCAGCTGATGCCGAAGCAGAGAGGGCCAAAGTCAATGCAGAAAGTGTATTAGAGTTTTGTGTTACTGAATTTACATATTTACACTGTTTTTTTTGTAAAATCTAACCTCTATTATAGTCTTCCAAGATCATAGACAAATGTTCAGTATCATGCTGAGCTGAGTACATCATCGCAGCAACATGTTGATTTGATGACATCAAAACGCGTATAACTGCAAGGTGGTCCTGTCGCATTGTGTTCACCAGAAGATCCCATCCGGAGGTGTTCAACGCAGCCCAGTTCACTTCAGAGAACTTATCGATCACAGAGATTTCCGGCACATCGTTATCTGTTTCTGCTGCTGAAACAATCGAAGTGCTGCGTGCTGAGCGATCGGTTGTTGTAGTTGGTTGCGTTGTCGTTTGTGAATTCGTGTGAGTCGTTGGATTGTGATCCGAAAATACATCATCGTTCGGAGGTTCTACAAGTCCCAAATAACTGAGCATTTTCGTTCTTCCGGCTCCTTCTTGTAGTGCAAGAAGGATCAGCCAAACTTTCTGTTGTAATTCAGCATCTTCGGAAGAGTCGGTTGACTGCGCATAAGCTCTAAAACATTCATAAATAAATAAATAGCTCTTCCAAATTTCAAACTAGCCTCTCATGTAGATACCATCCTAAATTCCTTTTGTCATCTTTGACGTGCAAATACTGTGCAATATCTTCCACACCAACGTCTTCTTGAATACCTATCTGAAAAGAACTTATAAATATACACGGTTCTTGGAAATATGAATACCGTTTCTACTTCAACATTATGCTGAAATTGTTGAGTCATCACATCATAGGACTTCCAGAATGTAGCCAACCTCCCACCAAGAGATACAGAAGATCCGATGAGAGGAGCGCGATGCCAGGCAGGAACAAATTGATCGGAGACTCGTGCAGCTAGAACCTCAGCTCCTGGTTGAGGAACACCGAGACTAGTTAAAGAGGAGATTTGAATTGGGTGTTGGAAATATTGAATAGCAAACTGAGCGGGTTCTTCCTCGTTCCATTTCACACTTCTGATCCAATCTCCCGTTAAACTTCCAACGCCGCCTAGTACTTCAGATGTCTCATGATTCCAGATGACGATTTGACCATCACATCCAGACGAAATTAGGAGACGGTCATCTGATTTGTTCCTGAAACCCATTTTTTCTTCAACTTCACAAAGAAAGATCTTCTTACCAATCAAGACTAGTCACACCCATATTGTGATGTCTATATTCTTTCACTGGTGTCTGTGTGAACCTAGAATCCCATTTTTGCACGACTGAAGCATTTTGAGACTGACTGGCAACCATCAGCTGCGATGCATCAGACGGATTCCAACACATGGATGACCAGTCACAACCGGGGATCTAAAAATGAAAGGAATACAAGTAAAGCATAATGTGAGACTACCTCTGCAAACTCCAATACGGGAGATCCGTTTCTCCGTAAATCCCAGAAGCTGACTCTTCTCGACGATATAGAAGCGAAAACAGACTCATTTTTATGGTTCCACCGCAAAAGCTTCACTTGATCTGGGAAGTTAGGTGCTCCTGGAGAAAACGGTGTTTTCAAATTTGCACAATCCCAGAGTAGAATCTGCCCGGATCCTCCACCAGAGGCCATCCACCTTCCATCTTTTGATACATCAATCGTCAGTACATGTCCATGATGATCTTTTCGAGCTGACAACACTTCCAGTTTTTGCCCACTGATAAATTTATCTGCATCGAAAAAAACGACGCTTCCATCTTCAGTTCCACCGGCAACTATTCCATTTGGATGGGCATCCGAGCACATCGATGTCCATGATAACTCATTGAATCTGTGAGAAAAAAAGTCGGTTCTGTTGAAACTCGGAAATTATAATTTTCTCACCGATAATTAGTTGGAAGGGAGACATTTGGGGTCAACTGCGCTTTTTCATATATATCACTCGCAGCCAAAAAATCAATTTTTTGTTCAACTGACGCTGCATTTGGGTCGAAAAATTGTGCAAAGTCAGCGACAATCAAACCCTGAAAAATAAGTCAAATGTTACGATGACAAAAATATCAAAGGGTACCTTAGACTGAATGCCACGTGGACTCCATGAAAACACTCCAGAGCGAGAGTAGAGCTTCGAGCTCATTGCGAATGATGAGAAGGAAGCCCTACGAGATGTTGTAAACTTCTGGTCGACGTGGATGAGCCAGTACTCGGCCAGCTGGTTTCGCCAGATGGGGAGCGTGCAAGTGCGCGCTGGTGAACAGGCGAAAAAATGGAGGGAATAGTAATTTTTCGAATGGAAATTAAAAGGAGGTCATCGCAATTAATAACTTTTTTTTCAGAAAAGGTTCAATGCAAACCGAAGCTGAATCCTAGAAAAAATAATAATATGCATGACGCCTGTAAAAAACGACTTAAACACAAAAATGTAAGATTCGCGGCTTAATACAGTTGTACCGTAAAAACTGTAATATTTAGCATCTGTAATCCGTAATAATTAACATATTAATTTCTCGTTTGGTGTTTAAATGTTATCTCAAATATTGCGCATTTTCAGTGAATTTCTTCATAATTTTCATTTTCCGACTTGTTTGGACGAAAAAATAAGTCCTGAAAATAAAACTATTTTTAGGTTACTGTAGTTGTTGCTGTGGGACTTTCGGGACTGCCACCGACGTTTCTCTTCCACAGCTCCGATGTTTCGTGTCAGAATATTAACATCCAGAACTTTAGTTTTGTCTCTATTCAATTTTTAAAGAAAGTTCCTCTCTATGATCTTATCCATTTTGTGATCATTCCATCCATCTTCTGCTCCTTTCCTTTTTCCTTTTACCCAAGGGGGCATACTACTTGACTGACACAAAATCTTTTGGCTCTATCGAACTTTTTTCTCCGAAAGTTGTTTCCGGTTTTTGTCGTTCCCAGTGGGTAATTTCAAATCTTTGAGATGCTGTTCACAACACAATTCTTCAAAAATCCTTTGTTTTCGTCTCAAAAGATTATAAGGAAGTATATCCTTTGATATTTAAAACATCACAAAATTTACCATTTAATGTGAATTCTGAATCTGATTCTTACACAAAACCTATTTCCGTTTCTGGTTTGTTGCTTCGGTTCTCCACGAGGACATTCAAAAGAATTGGACTAATTACGTGCATGATACAGTTTTCAATCTTCGACCAATTCAAAAATACATAATGCACTCGTTATTGTATTTACACATGTCCAATATTATAGTCAACAGATTCGAGAATACATCAAAAATCGCCATCATTTTCTTTTTGACCCAACCAAAAAACATAATAATTCGATGTCTGCTTTATTGCCAAAATTTCAAAAAGAACTCCCTGAAAATCTACTTACAACTTGTTATTCTCTGCAAAAAACACTTTAAAAAAGAAGGAACCTAGTTTTTATATCTATTAAAGCGCTTCCGTAAGAAGTTCCAAAATAGTTTATTTTCCGGAAATCTGCGATTTCCGGGAATGATGATACCTAGAATGTTTTCTATATAAAAACTTTAGTCGTTTGGGTGAAAGTTTAGTTTGAACTTTATTCTTGTAATTTTTAGTTTTTTTGGCTTCAAATCAAATGATTCATCAGTATTCTGGTGCAAAAAATCGGTGGTGTGGAAAAGAAACACCGGTGGCAGGGGCCGAAGATTCCACAACAACAACTACCGTAACCTGAACATTTTTTTTCATTTTTTGTGGGTTTTCAATCAATTCACTATTTAAAAAATTCACTATAAATTTCACTATGAAAAAATATTATTCTTGTTTGGGTAAAAATAACAAAAAAAAAACGAAAAGCAGCGAAAAACAGAAAAATGTACATGGAAAATTAATTTTTTTAAGGTTATGGTAGTTTCCATTTTTGTCAGTTCCGATTTTTCAATGACAGTGTACCATAAAACCTGTAATGGAAGGGACTCCTAAATTTTAACTTTGGCCCAACTTTTCTCGGTTTTTGTAAAAGATATTTAAAAGTTGTCAACTAATAAATTGCTTATCATCACAAAAATTTTATCAGTTGACAAATTTTGATAAATTGGCTCAAACTTGCAGCTTGAGGGCCCTTCTATTACAGGTTTTACGGTTATACCGTTACTTGGTTTTGGTTCTGGTAAGTTTCTTGTTGAATAATAATCTTTACCGGTTCTAGGAAAAATACATTTTTCTTTTTTTTAGTTATTTCTATCCTAGACTCCCTATTTATTCATGCAAAAAATAATTCATTCCACTATTCTTCGTATCTCAATTACAAATATTTATTCAGAAGAAATATAAGGAATAAGAAACACAAAAGGAGTGGTCCCTCCCTAATCAAATTCTCTTTGCATTCTTCTTGTTTTGGCCGCAGGTGGTGGTCTGTCGAATCTGGAAAAAATAGGGCGCGTCGATTAGAGGTTTCTTCTCTTTTTTCTCTTCTTGTAGTTCTTTCTATCTTCTATCGTAAGCAGGCGAAAAAAAGCGGACGTGCAATAGAAACTAAAAAAATTATTCGAGAAGAAATGAGAAGAATCTAAATGGGCAACATCATCGTCGTCTTTCTCACCATTTTGTTCTCAATATATCCACTTGTTTAAGTTTTGATATAACTTTCCGATAACGCTGAAATTTGAAACATATCTTGAGATCTTTCGAAACCAGTTTGAATGTTACATTTCGATTCTTATATGCTCATTTCATCCCAACAAAAATAATTAAGATTCCGGACGCAAGAATATTTTTTCCTTCGGAATTGTTTTTGAGGTTCCTTCCCGAGAGAGCTTATTTTGGGATCCCTCTACTTCATCAAGCTTCAGAAGGTTCACAATATATCAACAACTTCCCCTCTTTGAGTAAATGTCTTTTTTCGAATAGACCCCAAAAATGCTTCTCCAGTTCTTTCCCTACATGCCATAAGACCTTAACGATGTCTAGTCAATCTGAATTTTCCAATTTGAACCGGACCTACTTTACACTTGCTTTCAGATCTTAATTCTCTCATTTTCCACCAGACACACTCTTCTAATCGAATGTACACTTCTGTTCTTTCTTCTTTTGTTGAGTTCTACATATTCAACGCCTTCTTCATTCTCTTATTCCTCATGACGTCTTCTATCCAAGTGGTGCACACTTATTGAAACTATTTCATTTTGCAACATTCATTCATTCCGATACATCATTTTTCTTTTCTTCTTGAGCTAACATTCTGAATGATTCATTCGGAATTTCTGGAATATACAGATCTTTGGATTAATTATTTCATTAATATAGAACAGACAAACAATCTTTTTCTTTGTTCATTCAGTCACATTCTTCTAGCGTATTGAGAATATTCTAGGAAATAGAGAAACCCCCCCCCCCCCCCCCCCCAAAAAGGTACAAATCATTTGTCACAAACTGGTGGACGACAATGACAAAAGACAGGAAGAAGTTGATCATATTGCTCACCGCATGAACATATTCTTCTTCTCTTTTGTTATTCCTTTTTTCATTTATGAGAAAACTTAAAACTAGAAGGAATATGTTATTTTCACACAGGCGATTTAAATTGAATTTTTAAGGCGGAGCTTGTGAGCTTCTTAAAATCTTAATTTGCTGTTCTAAGAATATACACTACGTAGTTATTGTTCCACCTCGATTTTTTGGGTAGGATCCTGAGTTTGGTTGACTGTTTCAGCTACATAATTTCGCGTTGTTGAGAGGTGCACTTTTCATTTGGGGGCTCGACCTCCTGGCTGTCGCTTACTGTATCTTGAGTTTGAGTTTCTTCTTTCAGAGTTTCTCACTTCCGAATATCCAACATTTCTGAAAATTCGAATTTTCGCAAAATTTTTAATTCTAAATTACTAAATTTTTGACGTCCTGAAATCCAGAATTTTCGAATTCCTGAATTTCTCTAGTTTCGAATTTCTTAACTTCCAGATGTTTGGATATCTGAATTTGTGACTTTCCAAATTCAAGGATTTGTTGAATTCTCAAACAATCCTGAAACTAAACTATTCAACCTATTCAATGTTTAGTTTTTTCCCTTTATCGAAATATATTTCATCTGGAAAATATATGACTCTATAGTTTAGATTCTAAACTATCAGAATCCCCCCATGCAAAGTGGCAGAAACATTCTCGAATCTATTCAAAACTTTCCTCATGCACTCTGTCATTTCCAGTTCACTTTCCCTGTCACTTCCATTGCTCCAACATGCTCCAAAAGCCAATAAACTTTCTCCGCATTTCCTTGTGACTCACAAGGGAGAATTCAGTTGATTTCATTGACGCAATTCATCCACTTTTCGTTATGATTCTCTCCCCGACACGATTACCTTTGGCTCCGCATTGCATATTTCCTCTAGGTTGCTCTTTTGCGACTGAACATTGACGAGAATTGACATGCTCATAGGATTTCTCTTTTGAGACTGATTTGAAATGAAAGAAATTTGAGTAACCTGAATTGAGTAATTCAGTTAAATACGAAATTGCTGTTTAGATATTGAACCTTTTATTTGTATTGGTGTGGCCTAGTTTAAACTAATGTGTCCTAGTTTTCAGCTACATTTTGGAATATTTCTCTTCCAGCTTTCTCTTCTCGTGCTTTGGTAGTTTGATTGACACTTTCCCAGAATAACATCTGTAACAGCACTGGATCTATGACAAACGGCCCAGAGTTTGAGAATAGGTGTTTGCGTTAGGAAACTTTAAAATCTCTTTTTTTTTCGATGAAAGAATCCGCATTTTCTTTGCATTTATTTATTTTTTGCATAGGTCAACACTAATTTTATTTAAAACTATTTGTTGCTGACGTAAGTAACAAAAAAACGGGGGACGCGATAGGTTTAAAGGTGCATGGCCCCAGAAAATTTAAAAAAATTGTAGGATTTTGAAGTTGAGCATGATTATACTCATTCGAACCGAAATTTTGAATTCAGTCTGAAAATGCTAAAATTTTAGGTTTTGAGTGGAAATTCGAAGGATTACGGTAGACAGTTTGAAAATTCAGAGTTTTTTTTCTTACATTTTTGTGTTTCTGCTAGGCAAGGATGTCTACATCCCTTCTTTAGTTTTCAATATTCATGCACCAAACTTTTCTGTTTTTCTTATTCGTGTTTTTTCATGGATCTCCCATCTCAGAAGTTCTTCTGATCCTCAAAAATCAGAT